TTAAGCTTAGAAGGAAACCAGAGAAGAAAAAGTTTCATGGGTTTGTCAAGAGAAATTTAAGCAAAATTAAGTTGCAAGTTGAGAGAGGAGAAAGAATTTAGTATGAGAGAGTAAATAGATAGTAACTGTAAAATACCATTCTTTCAGCTCATGGGGGGAGGCAATTCTTATGCCTTCTTCATGGCTAATCAATCTCCATAAGAAGTGCAAGTGGTGGCTAGTGTTTTCACATGACTTCATTTCTTATTTTGGGTTCAAACCATTTTATTGTGCATCCAAGTAATTTTTATACTTTTTTGGGGTTTATTTTAGAACCATAGCACATGACCATTTTCGTGTCGGCCATCCATCAAAATTTGATAGATTTTTAGTTTTTTGAAAAATAGAATAAATGTCTCACGTTCGTATTTGTCAAAAATTTAATAGTGGTAAGCAAAAGAAAATAATTTAATAATGGTATTTGTCAAAAATTTAATAGTGGTAAGCAAAAGAAAATAATTTAATAATGGTAAGCAAAAGATGAGTATTGACTCATATACGGAAGTATTTTTCTTAATTTTAGGCTTATTTCGGTCTCTCACTTGGGGAAAACAAAAACTTTCTCACTCCCAGTTGGATAGAACATGGACTCGTGTCTTTTATTTTAATTTTTAACTCTGTGAAAAAAAATATTTTAGTCTTTTTATCACTAATTAAAAAAAAAAAAGAGATTGCATAGGAAAATTATTTTATCTATTTAAAAAAATGTCAACTACTTTTTAAAATTGTAAATATGCAAAATCATAAGATTTATTATTTTCGAATTCCAATTTTACCCTATCTCTCAGCGAGTGCCATTAGTCTCACCACACCCTCACATCACTCTCTCTTCTCTCGTTCCTTATAAATCAATCAAATCATTTTCTCTCCTTAAATCAACATTCAATTTGAAAGATCCATTTCAATTTCCTCTGATCTCCCAAATTCCTGTGTATCAAGATTTTGCCCATTCAATGTATATGATCGAGCTCGCCAACTTCCGAGATCGACGCAGAGCAGCTTCTTCCACTTCCAGACGGTTCTTCCCCAACCTCAGAGACAAACAAACAACCCTAGATTCCTCTTCGCAGTCTAGGGTTTTATTTTTCAGAATTTTAGGGTTTTCATATCGATCTAAATTGATTTTAGTTCTTAGTATTCTTAGGTTTTTATGTTCATCAATTTAATCTTGTTTTAGTGTTTCTATTACATTCTTTCTTGGGTTTTGGTTAGTTTGGAGAAGACAAGTGTGAGAAGAAGAAAGAGAAAGGAAAAAAAAAGTCATTCCCAACTGTATGGTTTCTTCTTCAAGCTAAAAGGAAAAGAGAGAAATAGCAAGAGGGAAGATGGTGAGGGGTGTACTGTACTAGATGATACAGAAAAAAATAGAGAATGGAAGAATGAAAAAGAAAGATTAGAGGCGTACAGAGGAGAGGGGGAAAAGAGAGTAGGAAGGAAAAAAGAAATGGGAAGATGAAGATGTGAGAGAATTAAAAAAAAATAATCAAATTATCTGGGAAATCAGCTCGCGCTCGTATATCAAGTAAATCAGTAGTATATTAGTAGTATATTAGAATATATGAAGTATACATCATATATAGATAAAAACTATATCAATAGTAAATCACTATAATATCAACAAATTAACAAATATATAATTAAACTCAAAATGCTTTATTTATAGAAAAAGTTCATTGTCATATCATTCAAAAAATTAATAGTATATCAGAGGTAATATATTTTAAATCATAGATATATCAGTGATATAATAGTGGTAAATCAATAGTAAAATCAATGATACATCATATAATCGTATTAGAAATATATATCAACACATTGATATCAGACTTATTTAAATAAACATCATTGTTACATCAGAACTATATCAGTGGTAAATGAGAGGTATATCAAGTATATATCCAACATATATCAGTGATATATTAGTGGTAAATCAATCCTACATAAGGTAAATAAGTTGTATATCAGTGGTATATCAAATATATATTATATATATGTTAGTGCTATATGAATAGTAAATCAATAAATAGTAAATTGTATAATCATATAAGAAGTTATATTAGTAGATATCATAGTTATATCAATTGTATATCAGTGAGAATGAGTGGTATATAAGAGGCGAGATTGGGCTATTGGGCGTCCGTGTTTTCTAAAAAAAATTGCTATATTTGAAAAATCCAAATGTAGATGCTATTTAAGAAGATTTCAACAACTTTTTAAAATTGCAAATATGGAAAATAACGAGAACTATTATTTTGGAATTCCAATTTGACCCTTTATTATGTAATTCCGTGCAATATCCTTGGCGTTTGGATGGTTGTTCGTGCTCTTTCTTCTTCAAAAACAATCTCGTTTGATATTCAGACTTCAATTTCTTCAGCTTCGCCGTTGTTGGTATTTTCTGTGAATTCATTGTAGGGCATCAGATTTGGAGGCCGCTTGTCCGATAAATGCAAGGTCAGTTTCAACTCATCAGATGGCGGAGGACAATTTAATTGACATTAAGTTAAGGAACAAGGAAATCTAACGCCAACGAGCTTGTAGAATTTGCTACTGCAAAAGAGCCTTCAGACCCCATCCCAACCTCAAAAAGTAGTTTCCCTTCCCTTCCATTCAATTCCATCCAGAACATTGATGATCCTAAGTATTCGAATGAGTAATGGTATTATCTTTCTTTATTCTTTTTCTAGGGTTTTAATATATTTCCTCCGAATCATATCCTTTCAAGTATTTGGTCGGTGAACGTTGATTATAACAATATAAGACAAACCCTCATTTTCACACTAAAAAGAGTCATTATCAAGTATATATCAGACAGTCAGAAGTTATATCAGTAGATCAATAAATGGTAATCTTATAATAATATAAACAAGTTATAATAGTAGATATCATAGTTATATCAAAAGTAAATCAGTTGTATATTAGATGTATTTTAAAAATATATCAAACACATATTAGGGATAAATCAATCATTAGTAAATCATATAATCATACCAGAAATTATATCAGAGTTATATCAGTAACTTTATATTTCATTCCCTTTGTTTGCACCCTTGTTTTCATCTAAAAAATAAAATAGTGGATATATTAGTATTATATCAACACACAAATATCATAGTAGATATCATTGTTATATTAGAGACATATCAAACATATATCAGTGTTATATCAATGGTAAATTTATACATAATAAATCATATAATCATATAATAAGTTATATCAATAGATATCATAGTTATATCAGTCGTACATTAGTTGTATATTAGTGAGATATCAGAAGTGTATCAAGTATATATCCCACATATATCAGTGTTATATCGGTGGTAAATCAATGGTAAATTAATCAATAGTGAATCATATAATCATATCAGAAATTATATCAGTAGATACATAGTTATATCGGAAGTAAATCAGTTGTACATCAGTGGTATATCAAAGATATATCAAGTATATATCAGACATATACTAGTGTTATATCAGTAGTAAATCAATAAATGGTAAATCGTATAATCATATAAGAAGTTATATCGGTAGATATCATAGCTATATTAGTGTGTGGTATATCAGTTGTATATCAGTGAGATATTAATGGTATATCAGAGGTATATCAAATATCAGACATAGTGCAAATATGATGGAAATTGAATCCAACATCCAACATCCCACAAGACTGGGCTATTATGCCTCCATGTTTTTGGGCTAATTAAGGGTAAATTTGAGATTTTCCAAGTTTGGCCTCCACAATTTTTTTTGTAAGTTGCTATATTTGAAAAATCCAAATCTAGAAGCTAATTTTATCATTTTACCTAATCGTTTTGCCATTGACCCTACTCTTTTTGCCATTATTGCAAGAGACCCTAAAAAAAATGAATTATTACATCAAATCATGTATACTAAAGTAATTTGTTACGGGAAGTATAGGGAAAAATTAAAATAAAATACGTATGAAAAGTTTAAAGATTTACTACTAAAAAGTCAAAACTTTTTTCCATCAACAATTTAGTCTTTTCACTTTGAATCATGAAATAAAATATCTTTAAATGAGAATATTCTCTATCATTTTCTAGAAAGAGAGAGAAGTTGAGTGTGAGTTCGGTAGAAACAATTGAATAATTAAATAATTTTATTGGAGACGATTTTGTTGGAATTAATTTAATAATTAATTCATATGTGGGTAACAAATTAAAGAGCAATTAAATCAAGTGATCTTAATTATGGACCCATGACTTCCCATTTAGTGGTGTGGCTTGCTGAGTAGAAACCAGCCCATTAATCCTAGGGGATTATGGGAAACCCTAGGATTAACCTATAAAT